ACAGACAGACAGACAGACATAGGCAGAGACAGAAAGACAGAGACAGAGAGACAGAGAATTCTGAGAGACAGAGACAGAGAGAGAGAGGGAAAGAGAAAGACAGAGTGAGAGAGACAGAACGTGTGCACATATATCTGTACATGTGTAGAAGACAGCGAAAAGACTGCTCTCTGCTTAAGCCATGTTGTACAGCTTTCTAAAACGTAGGATCTCACCCTGCTAATGAGGAAGCTAAATAGTGTCTGAAAATATTTAGAATCCTTCAATATCAAGGAAGCAAACCTATATCTGAAACTTCTTAGTAAGCTTTGGGTAACATGGCAAAAGTTACCAGCTATCTGCCAAAACCTTGTGCACGGTTTTTCAGCTGAACAGAAGGATCTCCCATCATCCCTAACTTTATTTACATCAGATGTGGTCATAAAACTAAGTTGCAGTCAAAGTAATATGAAGTCAAAGTAGCATGAACTGGGTGATATGTACCATCTTCTGGACTGGCCTGTAACTTGGGCTGTGTGCAGCCTGCTCTGCTTGTCACCTCGACAGGACCCATGTGACCTTGGAAGCCAAGTGCTGATGGTATAAGAGTTACTATTAGTGTGGGGTTCTAAGTGACTGTTTGGACTAGAGCCCTTCACCCCATCCTCTCTACACATGAACATGGCTTTTCTCCCTGAACTGTAATACTTGCCATGGACTATTAAATTTTAATATATGAACTTTTAAAAATTTATTAATGCATATTTGTAGTGATAATAATCACAGTCCTTGTGGAGTGTTGGCACATGTGCATAACACACCTTAATTCTTTCTCATTTTCATTCCTCTTCCCTTTCTCATCCCTTCCTCCATCTCTTTGAGGCCATCCCATTTGCAACTATCTCTCTATCTCTCTTCTTCCTCTTATTTAATTTTTATTTTGCTCTTTACTTATATTTTGAGTTTTTATGTAAAAACATGCAATATTTAAGCTTGTGTATCTGATATATTTCCCTTAGCATTATCTTCTCAAGGCACGACCATTGTCCTACAAATGACTCAAGTTTATCTTTCTTTATGGCAGAGCATTGCTTCATTGTGTATAAACACCAGACTTTCTTTATCCATTCAAGTGTTCATGGACATACAGGCTGCTTCCAAGATTTAGCTACTATGACTGTGCTGGTGTGAACACGAGTAGGCAGGTATCACTGTGATATGATATCATTACTCATGCATGAAGGCGCCTGAAGAGGAATAGCTGGAGCAAATAGAATTTCTACTTTTACCTTTTAGAAAAATCTCTCTCCATAATGATTTCCACACAGTTGCATTATACTGCTAAAAGTATAGAAGGATTTCTTCTGTGCCATGGCCTCCCTAGGGTTTGTTATTTGATTTCTTAATAATAGCCACTCTTTCTGGTGCAAGGTGGAATCTCTTTGTGTGGTTTAATTTGCATTTCTCTTATGGACAGAGATGCTGAACCTTTTTTCATATATTTATTGTCCATTTGTGCTTCATCTAAGAAGTGCTTATTCATTTCAGCTGCTTATTTCTTTATTGAGCTTCTGTGTTAGGGGGTCTAACTATTTTGAGTTCTTTACATAATCTAGGTATGAGTTTTGTGTTGGAAGAATAGCTGGAAAGCATTTTTCCCATTCTGTAGGGCTCTCTTTAGCACATAGTGAGAGATGTGGGTCTAGAGGCGACCTTCGGCATGTGGATAGCTACTTTTCCCAGCACCATTTGTTTAAGAGGTTATCTTTCTTCCAGCATTATGTGGTCAGCCACTTTGCCAAAGATTGAACAGCTGATTATGCCTAGAGTTCTTTCTGCAACCTCTATTCCATTTCATTGATCCACAGATCTATTTTTCATCAATACTGTGCTGTTTTAGAGAAATGTCTTGCTTGTGTCTTTAATGTGTTATTAATGGTATATTTATATATTTGTTACTGTAACTTAGCTTACCCTCATACATAACCTCAAAATATTCATGAAATGAATTACTACAGACATGTGACCTTGTAGCAGGCCAATATACTTCTCCTCCTTGTTGATCTAATACACTGTAATGATTGGATTAAAATATTGATTTTGATTTGTAGTTCATAATATTCTAAATGTCTATAAGTAAAACTTGTAGTGAGATTATGCTTAACCCAAGAAAAAAAATATTTTGTTTTAATGAGAGTTATGTTAAAGTACTGTTTTTTGGTTGAAATGCTCTATCAACTCTTATCACATATTTTGAACATATAAAATCAGTTATGAAAATACTTAGTTATAACCCTTAAAGTAAAGATTCCAAGTGAAAAATTCTAATTTGAACTTGAAATTTTTTCTTTTATATTTCAACACATTTTTATAACTATGCTGGACTTTAGTGCTTTCTTCTGAAGAACAGTTATCAAAGTTTTTCACATAAAATTTTGAACACTTTAAAAATGTAGAACCTATTAATAAGCCTTAGTACTGAATATTATTAAAATATCTTTGTACCTAATTGAAAATTATTAATACTAGTCATGATTCTAAAGTCATAAAACTTCTCAAGATGTTCAGTAGAAACCCTGATTTATCAAGCTCTATGTATTCAGCCAGGGACATTCAAGGTCAAGGTCCCAGGTAGCTTCAGTCTTGGTCTCTACATAGAAAGGAAACTTACGAATTTTTGTTGTATAAACTGAAGCAGAGATTCTCTCTCTCGCTCTTCTCCTTCTCCTTCTCCTTCTCCTTCTCCTTCTCTCTCTCGCTCTTCTCCTTCTCCTTCTCCTTCTCCTTCTTTCTTCTTCTTCTTCTTCCCTCTCTTTTCTTTTTCTCTCTTTCATTCTTTCTTTTTTTTTTTTTTTGGAGGAACCGGGGATTGAACTCAGGCCCTTGCACTTGTCAGGGAAGTGCTTATTTTACTGAGCCATCTCCCTGGCCCCTTCCCTCTCTTTTCTCTGGCAGGGTCTCACTATATAGTGCAGCCTGCCCTTGAACTTATGTAGCTCAGGCTGGCCTCAAAGTCAAGGCAAAGCTCCTACCCCAGGCTCCTGAGTGCTGGGATTATAAGCGTACACCACCACAACCAGTAAATTTGCATTCTATTTCATTGTTTTACCACTTGTATAGATAAGCAACAGGGACAAAATTAAAGAAAGCTCACAAAAATTCTTACACTGAGCTAGCGTGGTGGCATATGCTATTGGTTCCAGGACCCTGAGTTTCTGAAGCATGGGGATCATAAGTTTACAACCAGTCTGGGCAAGATTTTATTTCAAAACAAAAATAAGAAATAGTCCTGGGGATGTAGCTCAGGAAAAAGGTCCTGTGTTTAATTCACAGAACTGAAAAAAAGTTTTGCTGAATTTGGTTACCACAGCCAAGACACTGAACTACACAAAGGGACCTTAATTAAGGCTCATTTTCCTGCAAAGATTTTTCATATAATTTGCATCAAGAGAAAATTTTAAGAAAGGAAATAAGTCTTCATAAGATGTAAATCACTTTTTTTTTTCTTTTTTGAGACAGCTTCTTACTCGGTAGTTCAGGCTGGCATTGAACTCACTCTGCAGTCCAGACAGGCCTGAAACTGGCAATCCTTCCGCTTCAGCCTCCTGAGGGGTATAATTACAGGCAACCATCACGGCTGATTCTATTGTTTCTTTGAACCCAGTGGTTGCTTGTTTGTTTTATGTCATTTACAATTCATTTTATCTAACTTTTAAAGCATTCAAATAATTCAGAAAATTTTTTCATTTGGTTAAGATCAAATTTAGTGAAAATGTTCTCATTGAGGTTAACATCAAAATTGTCCTGATGCCTGCAGATATTGTGTAGAATGTGGAAGCTTAATGTTTTTTGTTCAGCAATGATAGTCACAGGATGCTGAAGAGAGAAGAATGTAGCGGGGGTTCTCAGTCTGTTCATGAACTAAATGTCGATGATCAACTCCAAATCAATAACTATGTAAAGTATTATGTCCTTGTGCTCCCTGGATTCCAACAAATACCTGTTTACATATAAATGCATGCATAACCCATATAAATAAACATTCTTCAAGTTCAAACTATTTGTTAAAGTCAAATGATGTTGAAAATTATTCTTTTAATTTTTGTCTCCTTGTGTGCTAAACTAAAAAATAATAATGAAAAACTTAGCTTCAGGAAGACAATAAAAGTATGGGGAGTTATAATTCACCTGTTTACCACTGTCGCTGAAATTATGAGTCCTTTATATTAAGGCACAACAGATTCTGCTTCTTAATGGTACACTGGGCACATACATTTATTTGCCTTTCTAGCACCCTTTCAATTCAAATGCTTTGCATTAGCAGTAAAGAAATTTGTTTTAAATTTAGAAAAGTAACAAGAAAAAATAGAGGCAACAGAAACTGATAAAAGGGAAGACTTTCTAGAGAATGAAAAAATAAATTCATATTTAGGAAAAATGTAAAATAAACCATCAAAGGCTGAAAATGGAACTGTTGCATAGGCGAGGACAGGTTTATAGTAGAAGGAGTATACTTAGTTTAAATTTAGAATGAATTAAGAATGAGCTATGGCCAGACCCTATGAGTTCTTCATTGAAGAACCCCTTCCAAAATAGATCAATTACTTATGGCTACAAGAGTAGCTAGATCATTATGATTACTTCTAGGTAAATACTTTAGCTCAAAGCAATTTTTCACATTTATTGGGGTCAGAAAGAGAAACAGGGAAGCAGAGCTTAAAATGAATCTGGACATCTACAATAAATACAGAAAGAAAATGGGAGGTAAGAGGGCAACTCTCCTTAAGACTAAAACGTACTACTGTTTTCATACCCAAGCAAAGCTTTTCTCATTTTGGCCCTTGTAAAGCTCCTCCTCTGACTCTCTCTTCTCATAATATGAAATGAAAGTGTTGTATAATTCAAGCAATACTTTTAATGTAATTTATTAGGATTATTACAACAGAATATATAGAAGTACATTGTGAGAAGATTTGTGCTTCTGGGTGTTCATCCTGAAAAGGTACTCAAAAGTGTGCACAGTGTTGTATGAAAGGAAAGAAGGTTAGCACTCCCCTTGACAAGGATTTAAGAGGCCCTTGGGCCTGACAACACGCACATACGGTTAAGCCATTAGCACCTACTTCGTGGTCTCTAACCACTGTTTTTTCTGCTACAGGTGCCTAAAAATAGAAAGGGTTTGGGTTGCTCTAGAGCAGGTCTGAAATTATCAGATTAGAAAGAGCAAACCAGAAAACAAGAATGAGCAAATGACACACATTCATTCTCTCTGTCTCTCTGTCTCTCCATATATATATATATATATATATATATATATATATGTTTCCTGGAGCTGCTTATAAGCAAACCCGCTGTAAAGATTAGGAAAGGGACATAAGAGTATTGAAACTGAATAATCACACCTAAAATTTTTTGTAAAGAATATAACCTGCTAATTTAGCTTTTCAGAAATAAACATGAATACAGAATAAGGCTACAAAACACCAAAAATTATATATGCAGTAAATGACAGCACCAACTAACACTTGAAAGTAAATGCTGAAAATGGATACAAATTACCAATATTATCTTCTCTTGGGGGCCTTTTCCTTCTATTTCATAAAAAAGGATAACAGTGACTACTTGTTTATTTCTGTCTTATCTGCAACTTTACAAATTTTAATAATAAAATCTGTACCACTTTGTACTATGCTGTACTGGTGGTGAAAAAAAGTGTGTACAGTGATATTTGCATAGAAAAGTTGATTTTAACATTTTAATGGAGAAATAGGTGCAGCACAAATGTTTATCAATAGGATGCAAATAAAGTATAATATATTCATGTCAACTGATACATTATCATCAAAAGTCATGCTGCATGGAGATAAACATTAAACAGTGGAAATAGTCTACATCCTGACTGAATGGTTGGCTACATAGTTGTTAGTTACATTTGCCAGATTGTGAGGTGTACCTTTTTCCTGTATGTAATGTTAGCTCAACAAAGACAACATCCAAGGAAACAATAATTTTTATACGGAAAGACCTTTACTACTTCTAGAAAAAAGCAAGTTTCAGAACAATAATGCCTATAAAACAATCCAATTTTGAAAACATGTGGTAATTTGGATGCTGGATTTTGTCTGAATTCCCATTTTCTGGTGTATAGCTCCTGAAACCTTGGAAATCTCTGGAGTGTTGAGGTACTTTTGTATGCTAAATGAGATGACTGTAACTGCTTCCCAGTGAAAACTTGAAGGTGGGGCCTGGTCGCCAGAAAGACCAAGACAAGATTGGAGGTTTAGATTCTTTCCTTTACAACTTATAGGAGGAGAAAAGGCTAATTAACCCACCAGAGAGAGGCCAATCACGTCATCAATCTAATTGGCATAATGAAGCCTCCATGTAAATCTGAAAGAACCATGGTGTAGGAGTTTCTAGATAGCTGAACATGTGTAGGCTGCCTGCAGAGGACATAGGTGCTCAGCATCCCTTCCCAAATACCTGGTCCTACGCATTACTTCCATCTGATTGTTCATGTGTAGCCTTCATAAGAGACTTTATAATAGGCAACAGTGATGTCCTGAGTTCTATGATCTACTATAGGAAATCAGCTGACCCAAAGGAGGAGCACAGGGGAACTGAAGCACTCCTATGGCAATTGGTTAGAAGAGCAGGTCACAACCAGTGCTTGTGACTGGCGTTCCCATAAGTGTGTGTACTCGCTTGTTTGTGTGCACATGTGTGTGACAGGTAGTGGGACTGAGCCCTAGATATGTGGGATCTGACCTTGTCTCCAAGTACAGAGTGTCAAAGTTTAATTGAATGAGAGGACACTAGCTGGCATCTGCTCTTACCTTACTGCATGATTAGCATGCGGAAAGTTTTCTGTGGCGGTGTTTCTTTCCACGGCCTTCTATCCCGTATTGAGTAACTATGAACACAGAGAAAGGAAAAAAATATTTTTGTAAATATTGCTTTATACAAATGCATATAAAGAGTTCTACACTCAAAAATTATGTAAATATATGCATGTGTACAGGAGTCGGTATTTATGACTTCAGCTTTATTTTCAATTCACTTTGAATTCAAATTGTTTTCAGAGGGTATATTTCAGTAGGAGCTAAAACTTTGGATGAGTGGAAAAAGGACTTTGCTGCATGAAAACTATATAATAATTTGATTTTTTTTTCTATATTTAGGACAGGGTCTCCAGGGTCTCACTATGTAGATCGGATTCGTAGTGGTTCTCCTGTTTTCAGCCTTCCAAGGGCTGGGGTTGCCGGTCCACGCCACCACACCCTGTCTGAAAACTCGAACTTAGCACATGTTCATTTATTAGATATTTTTAAAATGAATAACAAAATGACAATAATAAGAAATAAAGAAAATTATAAATGAGCGCTCTCTTGAATATCTCCTACATGTTAACTGATACTCATTTCTCAAAGATGTGTGTCTACAATTAATCCTCTAAAATAGGATTTGCCTCTTTAAAACATGAGCACATATTGCTATTAATCTACAATTACTGTAGGAAAAATAGATAAATAGTAATTTTTATTTCATTTTTCTATATATTTCTACTTATGAAATTAGTGTTGAGATATAAACATAGGCCACAATGAGAAGTGACATGCATGAAGCTGCTATAAAACCTGAATATTGAGATAGAGTGCAGTTTAACAGATCACAGAAAATCTCCAGAGATTTTTTTTCCTGATTTCATATTATTTAACATTTTACCAGCCTGACTGACACTAATTATAAGGCAGGTGCATGTTTTCATTGTTGTAATTTGGATATCATTAGTAAGCATAGTAATTTCACTGGTCAAACAGAATAAAATGCCTCCAATATTTATGACTAACAGAGAAGCCATCATGAGTTTGATGAGCAGTGGTAGGACAAAAATTAGATTTGAGTAAAAAATGTTTAGTATGTAGTTAGACTTTAACAAGTATTTTATATATCAATAAACACTAATAGAAGAGTAGGAAAGAGACCCAGTCCTAGCGCAGACCCGGTGAGTGTGTGGGAGAGCTTCCCGCTACCCTGTGCCGGCGGGACCTATTACTGGTCCCAGCCCAGCGCAGCATGGGTGAGGCCCTCTTCCACCCACTTGGGATGCCCCCCACACTCCACAGCACCTCCCGCACCGCACCCACCGAGTAGGAATTTCTGCCACGTTCAGGGAACCCTCAGACCCAGTCCTAGCCCAGGTATGGTGAGTGTGTGGGAGAGTTGCCTCTGCCGCCTACTCCACCTTGTCCCCTCCAGGCTCAGCTCAGGCCTGGCACACAGGCCTGGGGTGTAACCCTGCAGCTGCAATCCCTGCAGAGAGTGTACAGGATAGAACCACACAGCAAGTCCAGGAGCAGAAAAACTTGCCAGAAGGGCACAACAAGTTCACCCCCAAGGGCAGCAGCAGGAAGGAGCTGAGCAGAGCAGCCAGACCCAAGCCAGGCACAGCTGGATAAAGTTAAACTTTGTAAATCTGCACCTGAACTTCAGTACGTGCTAAGGTTATAACTACGATGAAGATCTACAACAAAGGTCAAAAGCCAGTGCTACGCAAAATGACAAGAAGGAACAAAATGCAACCTCAGAACCCAACCCCACCCGTAACAAGTGCAGAGGACACTAACACAGAACAAATTGGGAATCACACAGCTGAAAGCAATGAATCAATAGTTTTTGAAATAAAAAAAAAACAGCTGCAGAAAGATATAGAGGAACTCAGATTGGAAATAAAAAACTAAATCCCTGAATTAATAACATCTACAGTAAAGAATCAAATGCAGAAACATATGGAGGAAACCCAATGCCCACTCAGAACAAGTGAGGAGGACACTAGCTCGGCTCAAATGCATGAATCAATAGTGTCGATAGTAAATAAGCAACGGCAGAAAGATATAGAGGAACTCAGAGTGCAATTAATTTCTGAAATAAAAAAAGAATTCTCATAAATCATAGCATCTAAAGTAAAGAAGCAACTACAAAAACATAGGGAGGAAACCCAATCTGAAAAAAACACTGCAGTAAAAGAATTTATAACTGCTTCTAAAGAAGACATTGATAAAAAAAAAATAGAGGTGATTAGAAAAATGACGGATTCCTTGAATGAGCGATACAGGAAAGAAATAGATCTCATGAAACAGAGTCAAAGAGATATAGAGGACATTAAACTCTCAATCACAAGCTTGCAAAACCATTTAAGTGAAAGTGAAGGCAGAGTTTCAGATCTTCAAGATGCTGGTGTAGCTAGTGAAAAGGTAAGAAAGGATCTTTTAAAAACAATGAGGATACAGGAAAGAATAATCCATCACCTGCAAGATGATGCAAAGATGAACAATGTGAGAATAATAGGCATCAATGAGAAAGAAGGAGTCAATACAAATGACATTTAAAAAATATGGGCAGAAGTAATAGCAGAAAACTTCCCAAATATGAGGAAATAATCTGACATTCAGGTAACTGAAGCATACAGAATGCCAAATAACAACAACCCAATGAAAAACACACTGAGAAATATAATAGTCAAGATAACAGAAACTCAGCAAGAGAATAATCTACTGAAAACTGCTAGAGAAAAGAAGCAGATCACATTCAAAGGAAAACCCATCAGAATTATGGCTGACTTCTCTTCATAAACAATGAAGTCAAGAAGAGCATGGAGCAGAGTGCTTCAGGTCCTTTATGAAAACAAATTCCAGCCCAGACTACTATACCCTGCAAAACTCTCTTGCAAGTTTGATGGAGAAGTGAAATACTTTCATGACAAGGACAGCTAAAGAATTTCATGATTACAAAGCCAACCCTACACAGGGTACTGAAAGATGTGCTCGAGAGGGACCAAAATGATCAGAACTCCATGAATGAGATCAGAA